CACCTGAAAATGTCCTAGATACAGAGCTTCGGATGCCTTCTACAGTCGAGGATTTCCGAGCCTGGGGCAAGGTCGTCTAAACGCTCCGCGTCAAACCCTACCAATGACCGCAGCAAAGCGACGCACCCATAATAGTCATAATGCTCCTAACCAGTCCCAACCATGATACTCAAAATCATTTCCGAACGACAAGGGAAAAGGGGAGTAGAACCCCCGAAGCTCCAAACCCTAAACCCGTGACCCCTGGTACCCCCAAACCCCAAACCCCTGACCCCTGGTACCCCCTAAACCCCTAAAACCCAACCCCGGCACAGCCTGTGGAATCGAAGGCCACGGAGTTCACTGGAGCCGACAGTTGGAGCCTCGGTGTGCGGAAGCAGGATCGGGTCTGAGACTTCTTGGGGTGTAATGTAGCGGGTCTTGGGATTCTATTCGGGTTACTAGAAGGGTTCTATGATGTAGGGGCCTTCGTCCTTAGGATACTGTTCTGGGGTGTATTATATTTTGGTCTAGTTGTATGTGGGCAAAATCCTATGGTTACCCTTCAAGGCTCGAGAAGCGTAGGGCTTTAGGTTTGAAGGTCTCAGGTTTAGGGCTCGGGGTTCAGGGTTGGGGTTTCGGGTTTAGGGCTCAGGGTTTAGGGCTCGGGGGGATTAGGGCTTAAGCTTTAGAGCTTTAGAGTTTGGGGAGGTCCAGGGCTTGAGAGACACCAGGGGGCAGCGTTCACGACTCCATCTTGCCATAACAAGGAACGGAAAGCATTGCGGAGTTTGCAATCTTCCGGGCCATGCAGCTCGTCGATGGCATATGTTGGAGCTGCCACAGCCACGCATCCCCTACCACCGAGCCTGATCGTTCCTTCCAGGCTCCCTGAAACAAAAAAGGTGGCCTCCGGGGAAACCCCCACAAACCCTAAACCCTAAACCCTAAACCCTAAACCCTAAACCCTAAACCCTAAACAGCAGAGTCGGATCCCGAAAGCCCTTCGCCTTGGGGCTTCGAGCTCAAGCTCCAAACTTCCGTTTAGGG